GTCACACCGCAGTGCGCAGCTGTCAATGCCCATCGACTGTTGATAATTGAGGCGCCGCAGTTGTGGTGCCACTTGTTGTCGCGGTAGTCAAAGTAACTGAAAGATGCAACCCAGGGCCACGAGTGTGGCTGAGCAGTTTCTCCGTTTACGATACCCAGAGGATGAGATTTTGGAACGGGCTTTTTGCCGCAATTTGGTTGATTTTTTGCAAAGATTCCTGCAAAAAGGATAAAAGGTAGTAGCAAAATCATGTTTGAGTTTTATAATTAAACTAAATCAGATTTTTAATTAAAAATTTTTTGTTTTTATAAAAGATTGTCTCTTGGTATTTTAAAAATATTTACAGATCATTTCAAAATGCATTGAACTGATCCAATTGATATTTGAACAAATTGCTTCAGAGAAAAAAGAAAGTATTGTGACATAAAAAATCCNCAAAAATTCCTGCAAAAAGGATAAAAGGTAGTAGCAAAATCATGTTTGAGTTTTATAATTAAACTAAATCAGATTTTTAATTAAAAATTTTTTGTTTTTATAAAAGATTGTCTCTTGGTATTTTAAAAATATTTACAGATCATTTCAAAATGCATTGAACTGATCTAATTGATATTTGAACAAATTGCTTCAGAGAAAAAAGAAAGTATTGCGACATAAAAAATCTAATTTTAGCTTTGCCTAATTTACTCAAAAATAGCGTGATCCCGATTCCTAAATGATCTTTTCAAGAACACCAAAGGTTTTAATTAGGCACAATCAACACAACTCATTTAACACACTTTTCACTCTATCAGAATCACATTTTTTTGTTTGTTTTAACCTTGAATCATAGTTTGATAAAATATTTGTTTTTAAAACAAACTGATCAGACCATAGTGCTGAAATTGAAAAATGAAAAATACGAGAAGTAGATAAAACTGAGTGGGTTTGAATTGGAATGTCTCTGAATCTATGCTTATTTTGTACTTTTTAGCTAAAAATAAAACAAAGCTTTATTTTTTAAACTTGTACAAATAAAATTGGTTAAAATCGTTTTTAATTAATTTTGTAAGTTTGCAAATTTTTTATCTTTATATTAACTTATTGAACAGGACGAATTCTTCAGCGAAGCAAACATAAACCGGAGGCTACGTTTCCTTTCTCTAACACAGTCAATCAAGCCATCTCTCTTTTCATCGACAGGATGTTCATCGGTTTACAAACAACGCTGGTTCTATTGCAAAAAAATCATAGTAGACAAAATGAGTTCTGCTAAAACTGAATAATCTTTTTAAACCTGATAAAAATGAAAAAGCATTAGTTTCATTACTAAAAGTTATGAACTGAAATTCTTGTTAGAATTTAAATATTAAAAGTGTTTACAATGTCAATTAAATATGTCATTTCAATTTTTATTTGTTTTTACCTGTTTACAGTAATTGGTAAGTAAATTTTGTTTNTTTAAACCTGATAAAAATGAAAAAGCATTAGTTTCATTACTAAAAGTTATAAACTGAAATTTTTGTTAGAATTTAAATATTAAAAGTGTTTACAATGTCAATTAAATATGTCATTTTAATTTTTATTTGTTTTTACCTGTTTACAGTAATTGGTAAGTAAATCTTGTTANTAAAAGTTATGAACTGAAATTCTTGTTAGAATTTAAATATTAAAAGTGTTTACAATGTCAATTAAATATGTCATTTCAATTTTTATTTGTTTTTACCTGTTTACAGTAATTGGTAAGTAAATTTTGTTTTACAAAGAATGCTAATTAACTCCCAATAGACAGCCTTGAACAGTCAGGAACCAATTGTCGCCAAGCAACAAACTGCTCTGTTTGCATCGCTACTGCCAATGAATGTAAATGGTGCACAGATGACTTGTATCCAGCAAAGGAGGCAAGATGCAAAGCTCACTTTCAACAAGGAGAATGTCGGAATATTTTTGAGCTTTCGGCTCGAAATGATATCACTATAAACAGAGCTTTCAGCAGTGATACTCGCAACCCGGTGCAGCTGAGGCCTCAACAGACAGAGTAAGTTGTTTTNCGCCAAGCAACAAACTGCTCTGTTTGCATCGCTACTGCCAATGAATGTAAATGGTGCACAGATGACTTGTATCCAGCAAAGGAGGCAAGATGCAAAGCTCATTTTCAACAAGGAGAATGTCGGAATACTTTTGAGCCTTCGGCTCGAAATGATATCACTATAAACAGAGCTTTCAGCAGTGATACTCGCAACCCGGTACAGTTGAGGCCTCAACGGACTGAGTAAGTTGTTTTGCAGTGTCTCAACTTGTAAACATCGATTTCCAAACCAGAGTGCGCGCCCGAGTTGGCTTTACCACAGATGTGCTCATCGAGTACAAACAAGCGGCCGACTATCCAATGGATCTGTACTACCTGATGGACATGTCGTACACGATGAAACAACACCAGAAGAATGTCTCTCTGGTGGGGAAAAAGTTGGCAGAGAAGATGAAGAAAACGACAAAAGACTTTCGAATAGGATTTGGCACGTTTGTTGACAAAGAAGCTATTCCTTTTGCCAACTACGAGATGGGACCTCGAAAGACAAACAAGAATGAAACGATCAAGTACACGCATAGCTTTATTAACTACATGAAACTGGGCAATAATGCTACAGAATTTGAAGAGAAAGTAACTAGTGCTGACGTTTCTGGCAATTTGGACTCACCCGAGGGAACGCTTGATGCACTCATGCAAGTTATGGTGTGTGATAAAGGTAAAGATTTTGTCAACTTTGTAAACAAAATAATCATTTTATACTTTTCAGAAATTGGCTGGCGTCCTCAGTCTGATAAGATTATTGTAGTTGCTACTGATGAAGAGTTTCACTACGCCGGAGATGGAAAAGTATACAATTATATTTGTGTCGTTTTTTCTAAATGTTTTATTTATAGATTGGCGGAATCATCATTCCAAATGATGGACAATGTCACATGAAGAACAACCACTACGAAGCTTCTACAATTTATGTATACTATTCTAGTTAGTAGGTAAATGAAAACGTATAATTTTTGTTTCTATTTTGAAGGATTACCCGTCAATGCATCACATTGCTGAAGTGGCACAAAGACGAAAGTTCAACATTGTCTTTTCGGTTGCCAAGAACATGACCTCTATCTACCAAGTGCTCACTGACATCATTGGCTCTAATGCTCGAGTGGCACAGTTGACCAGTAGAGACAACTCTATTGCCAACATGATTGAAGAAGTTTACAAGAACATTTCCACTTCGGTAAACATTGAGGTAGAGCAAAGACCAGACACTGTAGACGTTCAGATTTTGTCCACTTGTGGCGTTGAGGGCGGCAAACTACAGCCCGTTAGCATTTGCAATTTTCAAGGTAAAGCAGTCATTCCCTTCCACATTCGCATCAAACTACTGAAGTGCTCGAGTCCCGGAGAAAACATTGATCACCTCATTCGCATTGGACTGCTCAACAAAAATGAGGCGGTCGAAGTTGCTTTCCATGAGCAGTGCAAATGTGCCTGTGAAGATGAGGGTGATACAGACTCACCCAGGTGCTCTTCCAACGGAACCTATGCCTGTGGCATTTGCTACTGCAATGGACGGCGGTCAGGAGCAGAGTGTGAGTGCGACCCAGAGAAGCCTATTGATGTGCGCAACCCAAACGCACATTGCATCAAAAGTGGTAAGTTTACATTGACAGTGATGTTTGATGGACACTGAACAACTTCTGGTTCTTCTTTTTGATTTCAGGTGAAACGCTGCAGTGTTCGGGTCACGGCGAGTGTGAGTGCGCCAAGTGCAAGTGTGACCTTAAGTGGACTGGAGAGTACTGCGAAGTGGACGAGTCCGAGTGCTACCACTGGGCAAATGGCCGACAGGTGAAGTGCAACAACCAAGGCGACTGTAAGAACAACCAGTGTGTGTGCAACAAGTTCTTCGAGGGAAAGCACTGTGACTGCACCAAATCCAATTCAACCTGCGTTGACCAGGACCACACCATCTGCTCCGGTCGTGGCGACTGTCGGTGTGGCCGGTGCGAGTGCACCCGTCAGGCCACTGCTCACGGCAAATACTGCGAAAAGTGTCCGCTCTGTGAAGCTCCTCAGTTTTGTGAACAGATTCTTTCGTGCATTCCAGAGTTTAGCAGCAAATTCTGCCTTAAAAACGTGCCTTCCCTTCCTTGGACAGCAGAGATGAACTCATCTATTGTTAGCTCAGAGGCCAATGTTGCTTTTGCCAAACTTCAAAGCAGGGTGGGGTCATCTCTAAATGAAACTAATCCTTGTTTGGTTCATCCAGAAGATTGCCCTGAAATCATTAGTCGGTGGAAAGTAAAAGTTATGGATGACGGAGATGAAGGTGCCAAATTGAAGCCAGCTGAAGAGCATCAGCATGCAATGCCAAACTTGCAAACCGATGTACAGCACTCATTTCACTTTCAGTGCCTCAAAGTGATCAACGGCTGTGCTGTCAGTTACTCTTTTAAGCTTAATTACAAGCCTGAAACTTTTATGGATGATGACGTGGAGCGTGACGAGAAGGAAACGATGAACTTTGAAATAGCCCTTTTCAAAGAAATCTGCCCCCAGCCCGTCAACATGGTGGTTGTTGGGTCAAGTGCACTATTTGCCGTTCTTTTCATTGGACTACTCACTATTTGCATATGGAAGCTGCTGACTAACTATTTAGATAGAAAAGAATATGAACGATTTATTATGGAAGTGGATGCGGCAAATTTTAGTGAGGTAAGTTTAGAAGTTGTAGCATTTTTACTATATTTTTAACTTGAATTTATTTTTAAGTCTGAAAATCCGTTGTACAAAGACGCCAAAGTGCAGTTTCGCAATCCAGCGTTTGGTTTACGTGATCGTACAAGTCGTTTCTTTAATTTTAAAAAATAGTATTTTGAATAACCAATTTTTTAATTGTTTGCGGTAAACATTTATAAAATGATCATTACATTTTAAAGTAATATTAAGTAAAACATATGTCATTTGCAAAATGAGGTTGTTTACTGGCTCACATTGACGAGCATTTCTAGTAACTTGTCTCAGGTGGCAGGTACACACAGATGTATGGTGTTGTTTGAAACAAAACATTTTGACATGTGATCAAGTTGGCATAGTTTTGCCACCTGTACTATTGTTCAGATATAAAAAGAGAAAATGAAGATTGATGAAATATTTATTCGAAAAATAAAATAAAAAATTAAAATGATTTACAAAGTTTTGCCACTAATTTTGACGGTTGTTTTGGTGATTGCTCAAAGAGATCGCTTTGGTCGTGAACATGCTATAGGATTAGGTAATTTTATTAAAACATTTTTAGTCAATAAACGTTAACTTTGTTACTCTTCTTCAAAATCAGATCTACACAATGGTGGACATTTTCGCAGTCTTCACTTTCGTGGGACATCGTCACCATCATCATCCGCTGATTTGTACTTTTGCCTCAATGGGGCTGGTCGGCCAATGATCATTGATTTGCGTAACAAAAGTGACAGTGATGACACTTCTACTCAAACTGGTAGTAGCTCAGAATTGCCAACAACTATAAACCTTACCACTCCGGCTTCTCCACCATGATTACAGAATATAAAATATCAACTTTTTTTGCCGACTAAAACAGAAAAGCAATAAACAAATTGTTTTGTGAATTTAGAAGTCAAGTCCCGATTTTATTTAGAAATACATTTTAGGTATTGTGTGTTTCAACTGGTGTGACCTGGTAAAAGCAAATTGAGACTGGTTTACTTTTTGAGGAGGAGAGAAGAGTAGCCATAAGCAGGGTAGCCATAGCTGATGGCAGAACCATAGTATGGGTATCCCGAATAGGAGCCATAAGTAGCGATTGGGGCACCGTAGTAGCCGCCATAGTAGCCAGAATAAGCTGGGGCAATCAGCTGGCCCAGGGCGACGGCAACAAGGCCGAGGAAGAGAATGGCAAAGATCTAAATAAAATGAAAATGCTGTTAAATATTGAAAAACATTTGAGTTTAGTAGAAAATACTTACAGCAGACTTCATTTTGGTTTGGTTTTGGTTGAGTTTTGTTTGTTTGCGTTTGCAATTGCTGGATACTTTTTTACTGGCACCACCTAGCCCTTATATACTCTTTTTGTTTTTCACTTTTAGGAGCAGTCACTAATTTGTCTAATTTCCTATTCTCTTTAGCTTCAAGCTCTTATTTTTGTTACCGTCTAGACGTTAAAGCAGCAAAAAAATAATTCAGACTACGTTCCATTTATCTTATCAAGGTCATTGTGCATTTGAATTAAAAAGAAAGGGGTTGTTTTGCCGCTTGCGGAGATGTAAATTTGCATTTTAGTTTCATTGGAAAGTGATTGCTTACGTGTACTTTTTCTACGTTGACCTACTACTTTAAGACAAAGTAACTGATTGAAAGCTAATTTAGGCAATTATAATTCTTTAGTGTACTCAAGTTATTACTACTTTAAAAAAATGTTTTCTAACATTGTCATAAATATACACTACAAAAAGGCACATTGGCCTACGTGTTAGTTTTATCGTATGAAACAGTTTTTAGATATGAAAGCTTGAACAAACATTGAGTACAACACTGAAGTTCACTGCA